GTTAGTAATGTTTTGAATTCATACCTGAACGGTTATCAGATACCTCTGCAGCCTATCCCAGTTACCTGCTCAGTGCTACAACAGAAAGTGAGGGGAAAGACAGAGCCCGAGATGGGAGGAGCCAAGGTGACCAATGCTTGTGCAGTCAGAGGCTGGAGCAAGCAAAGCCCCTGAACACCCAGGGCTGTGGATATTTATTGGTGACGTCATGGTTAGATCGAGGTAAAGGGGAGTTGCTATGGATCCATTGCTGTTGCAGACAAGGCTTGTAAAGGAAAAGACAAAGCATTCTTGAAGTAGGAACAGAACTGAGAAAAATATGTTATATATATACATATATATATTATATTACATATACAGTTATATATAAAAATATTTCCAACCAAAGTTTGAATATTTAGATGTGCATACATTTTGGAGGTAGAGAGAATCATGTCTTTAGATTTAAATGCTCCTTGTTTTAAAGATGCCTTTTAAATTTTGTGATAGATTTTTGTCCTCCACTCCTAGAATTTATAACCAATCCTATTACTTTTTCCTAAGATAACTATAATCAAATTTCTCTTCTTGCAAAAACCACTATGCACCCTCTAATTAATACTTTTTTAGTGTGATTAATTATAAAATTAACTTTAGTAAAGAGCTGAGTGAAGAGTTACTGTTTAAAGACTACAAAGTTCCAGTTGGAAACAATGAGTTTTGGAGATTGTCAGTGGTGGCTACAGAACAATGTGAATATATGTAATGCCACTAAAAAGTACAATTAAAATGGTTAATATGGAAAAATTTATACCATGCATATAGTACCATGATTAAAAAGAAAAGAAATTTTGGGGCAAAAAGTAACTTTATCGATGTCTTTAAAGAAAAAGGAAATAAGTAGTACCTGCAATATTCTAAGAAGTGACTTCATCACCATGTGTAAGTTTTGGGAGGAGACTGCTTTACAAGTTCCTGGTTGAGGACTGTGCCAATTGATTCTTCCAGTCCTGCCACTGTTTGGGTTAGTGTGGCAGTTCTCCAACAGGAAATTTACGTCACATCAGTACATGGCACCAGTCTTCTACAGCTCTAGTCTCTGTGACCCAAGTTAAAATGGAAATGCCTTGTCATCTCTCTTAACCTTGTGTCTGAGGCAATTCTGAGAATGCTCTTGCAGCAACTGCTTGTTCCTCCTGGGCACCATGCTGTAACTATGATTAGTCACAGAATTCTAGGTTGAGAAACCTTGAAAAGCACTGTGACCTCTCCAAAAGTGGCACAAGCTACACATGCACCATCTTAACAAATGCTCCAGATTTTGTTGGCTTTTGAAGTTTTATCTCCCATTCCTTGCTTCAGGAATTGTTCTGAAAACAACAACTTTGAATCTAAATCTTTTTTGCGGGGGTACAGTGGATTGAACTAGGGTCCTTGCACTTGTGAGGCAGGCCACAGAACCACTGAGCTAAATCCCTGGCCCTAAATCTAAATCTTTCAACCATTGTTTTAAAGCACATGCCCTCTTGCTTTTGCTAAAGCAGGATAGAAGAAAAAAAATAATCACCTTCTATACTAATTATTTTTTTTTCAGTTTTTGAAGGCTATTGCTAAATCAAATCAGATTACAGATAATTTTTTTATTCTCAGAACCTCTCCAAATATTGCAGGATTTGCATTCTGTAATAAATTTGTGGTTATTTTAAAAACTTCTTTCAATTCATATATTTCTCTTGATTATGGGGAGAAGTAGACTCAAATAAGATATTTTATTAATTTTGCAATTTTTTTACAATATAGAACCATGCTCTTTTCTTATGGGAGTCATTTTGCTACAGATTTGCATAGAAAGATCCATTGTGTCTCTAAGATTGCTAATGTTACACGTATTTTTCAATATTTCCATTTGCCAGCCATTCCTGCTTACATTGATTATGATCCACCTGTTGACCTAGATTTTACTACCAAGAATCACTTTTTTCCTAGCTACAACTAATGTATAACACATATCGCAAAGATGTTAAGAATAACATTTATCATCCAACATATATAACAGAATCAATTTCTTTTAAAAACATGCTGGTATATTTTAATATCTAGATTAATTATAACTTTTAAATTTAATAAACTGCCAACAGTTACCAAAAATGATGGCTACATCCCTAATGTGCTTTTCTGTGCACCTACTTGCTACTCAATTTTTAAAATCAACTTACTAAAAGTAGATGCATTTTGGGACCGGGGATTTAGCTCAGTGGTTCCGCCACCTGCTTCACAAGTGCAAGGTCCCAAGTTTGATCCCTGGAACTTCAATAAATAAATAAATAAGTGGATGCATTTGGAATACGTATCATATGTCAGATATTCCATCCCAATAGTATCATACTTACTAAGAGTTTTTACTTCTCTTACATGGAAAAAGCTATATAGAGTCAAAGCTCACCATTACAGAGGGATACGAACTGCACTCCACAGTGCCATCAAATTATGTGTACTCCCCGATGAGCCTGCAGGAGTAGGACTAGTTCACTGAGTCATTTCAGCCCAAGAAAGGACAAGGACAACAAACCACGATGGTAGTCATGATAGTGACTATATTAATAATATAATGTTTGCAAAAAAATCAGTGTTTTACAGCAGATACAACCTGCAGCTCCACAGCCTGCAGTCCAGACATAATCTCTGACCTGGACTGGGCTCCAAACATCTCCAGTTAGGAAAGCAAATAACACTGAGTAAGACCAACAAGATTTCTAAGCAATGATGAATATGTGGAAAGGAGGGACCTGGGCATACACGCCGTAGCAAACCTGCTCTGCCCAGTTCCCCAAGGTGATGAAATGTGCGACTGTCATAAGACTCAGTAATACTGTTATAATTGGGATGTACAGGGAATAGATGCCAGCTGCAGAAACAGTATGCGCTTTGACAAGGGGTGTGTTGGAAGCGATTGCCAGCCCGCGCCTGCTGCCAACTCCACTCAGCTACAAATAGAAATGACGATGCGCAGTGGGCCACAGCTCTCATGGTAGCCTTCACCAAGCACTGCCTCCGGACTGAGCAGGATCTACAATTCCAGTAGCCATGCAGACTCTAGATTAGTTACACATCAGAGTGGTACTACTGCAATGACAGTCACAGTTCACTGGCACTGGAGTCAACAGAAAGGCTTGTCAAACAATTCGGTTTAATTCCTACCCCAACCCTTGAAATAGAATCTTTAAGGGGAAAGAGCAAATCTCGGCATTTTAAAATTTCTCCTATTGTTTCTTATGAATGTAGGTTTGAGAGCTAAGACAATATGAAGTAGTGCAAATACATCATCTTACACCCTTCGGCTGCTTTCCAATTTACCAAGTGCTTCCCTATGTAACTTCTACATAAATACATTTTATAAAAAAGACAATACCTCGAAAATCTCAGGTGCTCAAAATGAGAAATATAGTAAAAGAAAATGAGAGAATGGAGCAATGATGTCTAGAGCTATTTCCACTCTACTGTTCTGACTTACAGTCATAATAATTATGATGACATGAATAATGAGATAAAGAATTAAAAATGATGGCAGGCTTTCCCATGTGCCAAACATTGTACTAAAATTTTATATCTATTACCACATTTAATTTCCATAACAACACATAAGATATTAAACATTCAGTTTTACAATTGAGGAAATTAAGGCTCCAGAAAAATAAGACCGTCTAAGAATATAGAGCAATTACATATTCCTGCCTAGAAACAAACATGTTCTGTCTGACATTCACGTGTGTGTGCTAACCTTTGTGCTCTGCAGCCTCGCAGGTATGACTCACTCAATCAGCGTACAAACTTGCAGCATTGTCCAAAGATTAAACTTGACCTCGCTTTCTCCTCACAACCAGCACCGCCAGATGATGAAGCACATGAGCTTCTCAGTGGCTTCTTCAGCACTGTGTCCTCATGTGTTTGTTCATCAGTGATGTATCGGATTTCCATCCAATCCATTTATTTTACTTCAAATGAACTTGAGATTCCCTGTCCTCAGGTGTAACCTTAGAGTTCTGCAATTCCACACCAGGGTCTACTTCTGATCAGAAGCCCTTGATCTGAGATTTCCTCATTTCTCAGCCTTTGTTAATAAATTATCATGATTCTTACCACTTTTCAGCTCTTTGGCTAAGATCAAGAGCACTATATGTTCTTATCGGTTTAATAAAATATTCCGACTCTCTTGCTCTCTTGGGCTTTGCTAATCTCTCCTCTAAGACTTTAGCGATGCTTTCATGATACTGGCTTCTAGTGGACTCAGTACTATCATATTCCTAAAGGGCTAAGAGCATTAGACCAGTCAGAACTTTTCCAGTTGTAAAACAGAAAAACCAATATAAATTGGTTTACACAAAGAACTTTTTGTCTCGTGAACTTAAGAAATCTAGAGATATCTATATTCAGATAGTCAAGCGATGCTGTCAGGCGCTCTCCTCATTCGTGGCTTCTGCTTTCCTCAGCCCGCACTGTGTCCTTGAGGATTGTGCTGCCATGGTAGAAGGACGGCCTCCAACAGCTAAATCCTCACAGAATGCTCTGTTTGTAAACACACAGGAAAATTTATCTCCTTTGCAGCTGTTTTCACAAGAATCAAAGTCTTGTGTGTCAATAGCTTGGCCCGGTTGACATAAAAATGCGGCACATTGCTTAAGAGATCTGGATTACAGGCCCCCAGGAACAATCTGCCCTCCACCCACCACACAGCCTGGACTACAAGTCAGCTGCAGATGTTGCCCTAAAGACAAAACGCAGTGCTAGTATCAGAGGCTGGTCAGGCAAAAACAATAAGTGTATGTTAACATCGGACTATACGATCTTTAAGACAATACCCCAATCAAGAATAGCAATTCTAGATAAAAATCTAGTATAAAAAATGGAGAGAGGAGGAATACAGTAGGGATGGAAACAGAGTAAATATTTTATTTCCTCCAAATATCATGAAAAAGACTTCTATTATTTCATTTATGCAAAAGTAGAGCCTTCCACGTGCAAAAATAGGTCTTGGGTGGGACTCTAAAGTAGACCCTGCCAGATGGGTAAATTGACCTCAACAGGAAGGTTCTGAGGGGATGCTTTGATTGACAGCATACTTACAATTCAAAAATGGGAGAGGAAAAGTTCAAGAAAACATGGTGTACTTTGAAAAGAACAGCTATTAGTTCTTTCAGGTAAGTGCTCCAATTATTTTTTTCTTTCCATTGCTTTTTCTTAGAATGTGGCATTTTGTTTGGGCAAGGCTCTGGCATCCACTGTTTCTCATTAGTGCTGTGACCCTGGAAAATTTATTTAACCTCTCTGTAAAATACAAGAAGTAAAACAGAACTATCTCCTTAAACTGGTGATAATTAATTGAGCAAATATAAGGAGAAACTTTAGGAGGGAGGCTTCATCATAATAGGTAGAGTTACTATTGTAATTATTTTAAAAGCATGCTTGGTACTCAGCAGGCAACTTAGTACAGAACCTGTTTGGGGAAATCACTGTGTTTGTGCCAGTTCTTAGATTTTTGCCTTGAATTTCTATTATTCAAATACTGTGTGTTATAAGAAATTGATATCAGCAATGGCCTCGATCTCCATATCTCTACAGAACCCAGCATTTCTTGAACAAAAGACTCAATAGATTAATGGAAACAAATGTGCAAATGAACCAAATTTTTTCTATTTCCAGTGCTTCCAATTGTCTTTTCTTTAGGTTCCTAAAGAAAAAACACTGATTAATATAAAAGCATTCCCCTTGGTGCAAAAAATATATTGTCAAAGATTAGTCCTAGAAAGAGTGAAGTGTTCATCCCTAGGAATACATGTTTGATTGGTGGAATTTCATTTTATCCAGGACAGGCAGGAAAAAGATAGTTTGGATCAGTGAACATTCCTGGCCATTCTAAAATCACCCAGTAAAATTTGCCTTTCACATCAGCAAACTTAGAGACCATAGTCATGTCTTCTCACTTATCTTGCATGTGTGCTGGGGCAGCTCTTTTCTCTATCAGACACACGACTCTCTACATTCACTTCCAAGGGTGCGTGGACGGGAACACAAGCAGCCCATTCTCTAGAATAACATCTGAAGTGCCCTGTGAGCAGTGACACACTGCAGAATGGCTACAGATGGCCACCCAGGGACAAGCATACGAAGGCATCGACTTCTGTAGAGAGCAATATGTGCCGGAAAGTGTCGCCAAAGTCTGCATTCCCATGCCACACTGGAGTTGCAGAGTTCGTGCTACTGCCAGAGGGCTTCCTAAGGAGGGAGGAGATTGAGCAGGTGTCCGTTCTTAAATAATTCCTCCCTTTCCATGACAAAGAGATTAAGACCTAATCCATATATGAACAGCTATCTGTATCTCATTGATTTGGAGCACAGCACTGCAGCAAAATCTTTCTTCCAAGTCTCTATGATTTTCTACCTATTTGCATTTTTATACCCTCTGTGCTTAATAGGTTAACGGAGCTTTCATCTCCTGTAATGCCACCTGAAATACAATGTTATCTATTATAAATTCTACCAAAATGCACATTCCATCCAGTGTGCTTAGTAATCATTACTTTCAGAGTTTGCTGGAGCATGGAGCACAAGCTACATGCCTAGAAACCTGACCTTCGAAGGGTTAGTCTCTTCTCATTGGAATCACAGCTACATCCTTGATTTATAAAGTGCATACAAGCATTATAACATTTTAAATATATCGCTGGATGGTCAAAATAAATAGATATACTTTAAATATGCATATAAATTTAACAATCAGATATATTCCCACAAGCTTCAGTATTATTTTTTCAGGGTCATCAAATATATTTTTAATATTCTAGACACTACAAATACATTTTCTTGTCTGCTTCATTATTTCTGGAACTGACCACTCAAGCAGCTAATGGTCCCAAACTATCTCTTTTGTAACATTCCATTCCTTTCAGCTTTTTTAAAATTCATTTTTTCAAAATCTATTAACAGCTTAAATTTACAGTCTACCAACAAAATTTACTTCAATAGAATTATGATTTCTGCAATTGTCTGAACTTCACTAAGTAAAAAAAATACATCATGATCCTCTGATCCATATTATCTGTATTTTATCTATTTGTTTAAAATACTATGAAATATAATTATTTTATACCCAATAATAAGAAAAATTAAAACGCTTATTTTTAACTAGCTTCACAGGTTAAAAAAGTAAAAACTAGTCAAGATCTTTTCTTTTTAATCTTCATTTTTTAAAATGACTACTTAAAGGCACAGGAAATGGGAAAATTATCTGAATAGAGTCAAATGAATAATGTTTCAACTCATATTTTTTCATGAGGGTTACCACTTACCTAACACGAAGCCATAATTCCAGATTCAAAATGCAGCTCTGTAATTTTTTAAACATATTCTCATTAAAGTCAAAATTTCTATAAGTAGGTACCAAAAATTATAAGCAAAGAAATGCAAGAGAATATTTTATTTATCCTTTAAAATTCCAGGGCATTCCTTGGATAGCTCATTCATGTTAGATTTATCCCAAGTAATAAAATGCAAAATAATGATGCACATAATTTGCTTTTGAAGTACTGATGTGAATCACAAAAGATTTCCACGTTAATTGGAGTATGCTTGTTCAGCACTTAATATGCCAGTGATGCCTTTGACTTTATTGCACTGTTGCATAGTTTTTGAAAATATTGTTGGCATTACACAAGTCATCTCTTACACAACAGTGATGAGGACTATAGAAGAAAACATGCTAAGGTGAGATTGCTCCACTGGGCATGAAATCCCTATTATGTCATGTCAATTAAGTGATTTCTGAAACAAGAAGTATTTGTCTAAACTAACACAAGTGATATTCTTAATTGACACTGGGATTCTGATGTCAAGCTTATACTGAGCAACTGCTTATGGCACCTAAAGGAATGAGAACATTTTCTTCCATGACTAAAGAACGTATGCCTGGCACTACAATGCAGAGTATCATAAATTTTGGAACTTTCAGGGAAGGCTACTTCAAATTCAAATGTTTGCGTTAATCTGCCACTATGTTCAGGTTCATTTACCATGCACATAGCCTCTTTCATTAAGAAAATTAAAAGAAAACTAATAATATCATCAAAACACAATAAAACATTCATATATTTTTTAAATGGAGAGGATCAGACAAAACTGTGGCATGACTATTATTATTATAGTTCACATCTCTTTTATTTGCCTTATAAATTTCTAGCAATGTGAATATTAGAATTTAAAACTTTAAAAGACAGGGAAAGTATGTTAATAGATAACTAATGTTTCAATTAAAAAGTAAGACTTCAGACACCAAATTAATAAGAGTGGCTAATGAGAATGAAAATACCTGTGACGCAGTCAAATTTGACAGTTCTTATAACAAAATATAGCAATATTAATACCTCATTATTTTGATAACGTGTATATTTTGGAAGCACTAAGAGAGAATCAATTTCAAAATGAATAAATTAAACTCAATTTATAGAAAAAGAAGTCACTATTTTCCAAGACTCAATGTAAACAATTATATCCTGTTCTTTATTTTGCCTTAAAAAAATGTGTTGCTTAAACAGGATTCTTAAGTACAATTTGCAGCCCTATTCTAATTGCATATAATGTTAAACTAGTATTTGGAATTTGACATTTTATTTATCAGGTATCTATCATGTATTTCAGCTAAACATATTTCACATAGGTCCATGAACAAAAAAAAGAAAAAAGAAAAAGAATAGCTTTAAGTAAAATTTCATCTTAAAACTCTCCCCTCAAATAACTGTCATGTAGTTAGACATTTTCATGAAGCACAATTGGAAATAGCCAGTCTTTGGTGCCTCTTGCCCTTTACCTACTTCTCCCAGCAAACATACCAATTATTATAAGACAGAGCCTTCTGGTAATCTAACCTTAGCTCTTGAACCTTTCCTGACTTTACCTTCTGCTCTCTTTATAAATCTGCTTGAGGTCACTTTTATCATCTTTGCCTCTTACTAGCTATATGCCACTTAAAAGCTGCTTAACTTCACTATCTGTTGGTTTTCTCAAAAATGAAATAGGAATAATAAGAGTATCAGCTCAGAGCTATTGAGAACTATATCAGATGATACAATGTCTAGCATATGTAAAGGTTCAATACACATCACCCACCATTTTTGCTTTCTATATGGATGTTAAATTCTGTATCACTCCCAGATAAATTTTTAAATAAGCAAAACTTCTCATAGACAAGTCCAACTTTTCTATTTTTGTCTTTTCTCCAAATTTCATGCCTTTCCCATTATACTACCTGCTCAACTCGAGTTGGCAAAGGACTCTGTTCCACACAAGAAGGACTCAGGTTGGAAAATGTAGGCAAACAGAACTTTGGGTGAGCATCAATAGGTAACACTTTGCCTTTCTGGTTACCAAACATTCTCTCTTCTTTCTTTGGTCCTTTCTTTCCACATATAGGCTCCATTCAGACCTTCCTCGTGGGAGAAACCAAAGGCCACCCAAATATCATCTCCATCCAAGTCCATTATCTGTGAGGGGTGGTGAATTGTTTAAGCCACTTTCACATATGAATCCATTTGTCCTACATTCACCCAATGCACAGTGATGGAACAGTAGCAATAGTAAAAATCCTATTAGAAACAGCATGCTTGAGAAACACACAGACCCCACTGGTCTGTGGCAATTCGGAAATCCAACTGGGCAGATATTGTGAGGTTTCTTAGACATGGTACAGGAATTTCTCTTATTAAGCTCCAGTGCCTCACTTTAAGAAGATCTCCCTGGTTCCATCTTCTAAGAGATTTTTTTTTCCTTCGCGGTATATTATTTGGCTACAGCAGAAGTAGTAATTCACATAAACTCTATAGGGGACACACAGATTACTCTGTCACCCACATGAGAAGAAGAAAGTCCCAAGATATTTTAAAAATTTTAAGCAACACAAGCCTTTCTTTTTTATGCTTTTGTGTTTGCTATGCTGCAAAAAAGAATCCAGGGCCTGTGCACTGAGCTAAAACTACAGCCATTAAAAAAAATTTTTTTTTTAATTTTGAGACAAGTCCTTGATAAGTTGCTAAGCTGTCCAGGCTGGGTTTGCACTTAGATCCTCCAGCATCAACCTTCCACAGTGCTAGCATTACAGGTGGGACCACCACACCCCACTGTAATCACAAGACTTTACTCTAGATTTGTG